GGGTATATTTGTAGCAATAGCCAACAATACATTGTATGGGTCAAAATTATAGATTTTTCTTTTATGCCAAAAATCATTAGGATATTAAGTAAAGATCATGTTCCATGAAGATATTTTGTACATTTCTTACCGTAAATATATCAAAACTTAATTTTTGATTAGTAATATGCATTGCTAAGAACTTCATTTGAACAACTTTAAAGATGATTTTCTGAATATTTTGATTTTTTTGCTCCCTCAGATTCCAGATTTTCAAATAGTTGTATCTCGAAATATTGTCCTATCCTAACAAACCATACATCAATGGAAAGATAATTTATTCAGCTTTATTTTATTTATTTTTTTTCATGATGCATAAACATCACAATTTAACAAACAATTATGTTTTAGTTGCATTTATACAGTGCTATTTTAGTGTCATTGATATACCATTATAGGGTTTGTTAATATTTTGTTTTCATTTTTGTACGTTCTGTATTTAAAGTTATAGTCATTATGTTGTTGTTTTTTGTCATTTTAATTTTTTTAATGTCTGTATATAATTTTATGTCAGTTTCTGTTTTAGTTATTTTAGTACATAAAGTTAAAGATTTAGTTATGTTTTTATAACTTTTATTAGTCTTTTTAAATATATATTTTTAGTCATTTTTATTTCAGTTTTTGCTATTTTAGTACTTAGTTACATTTTGTTAAAGTTTTAGTAATTTTGTTGTGTTATCATTATTATCATTATTATTACTATTTTGTAATATTATAAATGATAATTTTTTAATTATTTCAGTTTTATGTTTAATTATTGTAGTACTTAAATTTAAATAAAATTAGACAATTTTTTATTTTTACTTTCAGTTAATGTTTATTTTATTTCAAGTAACAATAATTATTTTTTTATGGTTTTAGTTTTAGTTCATTCTAATAACCCTGGGTAGCATTTGCTGTCCTGATTTTAATTTATAGTGAGTTAAATCAAGATTGTTTAACACTATTTTGTTTATGTAAGACAAGAAATGAATTGCAATAATGAGAATTAGAGGGGAAAACTCAAAAGTAATGAGAATTTTGAGGGAAAGTGGGCAAATTTACTCTCACGAAAATGCATAAATGATAATGGTCCTAATAGGCTTAATTTTCTTGTCAAATATAATTTTCTTTTCTTTTGATTCTGAGGTGATCCGGATGTTTTAATGAAATTAATATGTAAAGTTTAACTGTAAGTGCTTGTAAAATAGCAGTAAATTCAGCTATTGAATCCTTCAGCATACTGAAATAGCATTGAGATGCATTGATTTTCTCTTGAGTTCAAATGTTTGTGTCTTGATCAGGCTGCACAAAACCCATGCATAAAAATGTAGGAGCTGTGTTAAGGCTGATCTTTTGGTTGTCTAAACAGAGCGTGACATTCCTGGACATGGATTTTGCATGAACTTGGGCTTGATGAAGAGGAGAAACGTTTAAGGTGAGCTTTCTTTAACTGTATAACAACTTATAACTTATATTGGATGTAATTTATGCACAAACATTATCATCTCTCTGGAAGCATGCATCTCATGTCAAGGCGTTTTCTAGCAATTCTAGTATTTGTGACTTCACATTCTGCAATTGCATCTTAAAATCAATGAATGTTGTCTTTTTTTTATTTCTTTATTTCTATTTACTTTTTATTTCTCAAAATTAGGTTAATTTATGAATATCATGCCTGGAAGATTTTGCGAATGTTGCAAATTCAACTAGTCAAGTGACGGGCAACAAGGTTATTATAGTTAATAAAATCTAAAAACTTATTTTATTTTATTTCCAAAAAGAAAATTAGTTTAACTTGATGCCCTAAAATAACTAAAACTAAAACTGAAATAAAATTAGGAAAAATATAAAACATTATAAAAAACAAAACTAATAAAAATTACAAAATCACGCAAAAAGAATTAAAACTTTACCTAAAATTAAAAATAAAATATAAAAAATAAAAACGCTTTAAAAATATGAATAAAAACTATAATAATCCCTAAATGATACTAAAATAACACATCTTTTAAAACAGCATCTTATTACAAAATATCATGTCCATGTAATGGGAAATTATAAGAAATACAATCAAAGAATGTCACAACAGTGTTGCATTGATGTTTTCTGGTTTAATAGAAAATAATCATCATCTGATTTTCTTGTTCTTGTGTTTCGTGTGTTGTTTGGATGGCTAACAGTTACAAAGTCCAAAAGCTTGTGACCGTTCCAACCCTGGTCATGAAACCCTTAACCAGTTTGGTGACTGTAAATGAATCTGCAGATGAATTAGAGGCAGGGCGTTTCTGCAGGTAATGTGACACATACAGTATCTGCGTGTGTTTGTGTGCTTGAGTTTCCTCAGCTGCAGAGAGTAAGAGTCTCCATAAGAAACATTATATCTCAATGTGTCAATGCAACTTAGAAAAAAAATCATTTTTTACAGTGTTAGGCATTCAGGGTTCGGGCTGATTTTCTTCTTTAAGACCGCTGTGAAAAACATTAACATAAAAATAGATATTTTTGCATGCACATTAAGAAATCTCAATGTCTACCCAGCTAACACGGAATGTTCTCAGAACGTTCTTGCAAGGTTTTCTCAAAGTAATGCACAAACGTTCTTTCATTTCGAATGTAACGTTAATAGAATGTTCGTTCAGTGTTCTCTGGTGTAATGGTATTTATATTGTTGTGGTCGTTAAGCAGTTCTTCGTTGTTATTGATCTGATGCAGTAATGCTGTTGTGAGGTCATGCTGCTGAAGTTCATTGAGTAAAGTAGCATTTTGTGGAAGCGCTGTTTGTACGTCTTTTTGTTGAACCTAACACACATATATCATTCATTGAACGTTTTCTGAAGCGTTTTTGTAGTTGACGTTCGTCTAATGTTTTGTAAATGTTATTACTTGTTTTAAATGTTACACTTGTGTTTCAAAAAACATTCAAACGTAACGTTTCCATAAAGTTTGCAAAATGTTCATATATAACCAAAACCATATATATATATACACTCTAAAAATTGCTGGGTTGTTTCAACCCAACTTTGTTGGGTTGAAACATATTTTGGGCATAAACATATTTTGTTAGCTGGCCACAAAAAAAAGACTGTAGTTTCTCAACTTTGTCCTAAAGGATATGACTAGGTAAACAACACTTGAGTAAACATTGCAAAAATGGGCGTTCCTGACCTGTTGAATGTGGAATATTGACATGCATTTTGGCTTAATAAATAGTATGCAATAGTTGCATAAATATCTGCACACCCCTAAAGTCAGGTTTTCATGGATAAACAAGCCCTTGCTAATATAACTAGTGCTTTTGTTGCATGTGGGCGCTGGCATCTGATCCATCCTGGCATGTTGAGATGTAGGTCATGAATGCTCTCATGTCACGACGTGCTGCAGGAAGAGTTTCTTCACGATCTCCACATCATCAGCGTCTGTCATGTGTTTCCCTCCACACCCGCTGATCAAACAGCACAATGACTGCGCTTCATGTCCTCGCTCATATACTGTGTTTCTGTGCGGATCAGGGTCTGCTGAGAGATGAGGTGAAGGAGCAGAACTGAGGGAAATCAAACACTAATCCACAGGTAAGAGCGTCAGACGTCACGTCTGCTGGAACTCATGCAATAGAAACAGGCTTTACGTTTACATGTTAGTTCATTTGATGTATTCTAAAAACAATAAAATATCGCTTTTTATATATATGTGACCCTGGACCACAAAAGCAGTCTTAAGTCGCTGGGGTATATTTGTAGCAACAGCCAACAATACATTGTATGGGTCAAAATTATAGATTTCTCTTTTATGATTTGAACAACTTTAAAGATGATTTTCTCAATATTTAGATTTTTTTGCACCCTCAGATTCCAGATTTTCAAATAGTTGTATCTCGACCAAATATTGTCCTATCCTAACAAACCATACATCAATGGAAAGCTTATTTATTCAGCTTTCAGATGATGCATAAACCTCAATTTTGAAAAATTGACACTTGTGACTGGTTTTGTGGTCCAGGGTCACATACAAGTTAAATTTATCCTGATCTTCAAATTCAAAAAGTTTTCACCCCCCGGCTCTTAATGCGTTGTTTTTTCTTGTGGAGCATCAGCAAGCGTTTGAACCTTCTGTAATAGTTGCATAAGAGTCCCTCAGATCTCAAAAGCATACAGTCACTGCTGGAAAGGGTTCAAATACACAAAAATGCTGGAAAACCAAAGAATTTGTGGGACCTGAAGGATTTTTCTGAACCCTAACCCTATGTAAAATATCTTATTCAGGTCAGTACTGAATAAACAATAACATGCGTTTTGTATGATCTCACTTATTTTGGTAAAATAATGAACATTTTGCAGATTCTGAAGTACATTTTGACTTCAACTGTATATATATATATATATATATATATATATATATATATATAGTATATGTATGTAGGCTATGTGTATACAGTTGAGGTCAAAATTTACATCCCCCTTTCAGAATCTGCAAAATGTTAATTATTTTACCAAAACAAGAGGGATTATACAAAATGAA